CTTAAACCCCCCCCCCCCACCCCCACAACATCTCAAAAATAAAAGTGTCTTTGCTATTTGGTCGATTGAAAATTCATAAACCTAAACTTCAGAACAAAAAATAAACGGAAACCTCCCAGGTTGGTTGTTCTTTTAACCACCCCAAAGCTGCTCTGACTTGGAAAACTCAAAATCAGGGGAAGGAAGAACACATGAGAGAAACTCTTAAGTCCCCCCCCACCCCCACAACATCTCAAAAATAAAAGTGTCTTTGCTATTTGGTCGATTGAAAATTCATAAACCTAAACTTCAGAACAAAAAATAAACGGAAACCTCCCAGGTTGGTTGTTCTTTTAACCACCCCAAAGCTGCTCTGACTTGGAAAACTCAAAATCAGGGGAAGGAAGAACACATGAGAGAAACTCTTAAGTCCGACTTCACAAAGAGCCCAGCCATTTGGTGCGAAACCTTCAACGTGGAGTTCACAGCACCTGACAACAGCTAGGCCAACATGTTTCCTGGATTGCTCCAAACGGGGCAAAGCGTTGTCTCTGAGGAGTCCAGTGTCTCGTGCAGAGAATGGGAGAACTTTCCTCCTTCCCCTCCCACAAACCAATTTCTGATGCGATACTTGTAAGAGGGGAAAAAATAAAAACAACAACCCACATCTCCTCTTCAGGAAGATTTTGACTTTGAAAAGTACCCTGTGTAGTGGCAACCGTCCCATGAGACACAACGTCCCAGAGATGGTCTGTAAACAGAAATAACAGATTCATACGCGCAATTTAAAAAATATTCAAGCCCAAATTAAAACAAAACAAAAAAAAACCAGACTTCTCCCTCCCCTCCAAAATCTGTACAGCTGCATTATCTATAGAGAAATCTCACCTCTCCGCGTGGTGATCGTTCAAAAGAAAATTCAACTGTTTCTTGGTTTTAAAAAATATAGATCTTGCGTGCAAGAGAGAGACCAGAGCTTTATTTACTTGTGTCTAAGCCACAGACCAATCCGTGGTGCCAGGAGGATTTCACGGATTCTGTCTTTCCAATTCTCGTTCAAAAATACATTCATAAATGAGTGCAGTGCAGGTTTAGCGCCCCCCCAGCTGCCACACCCATGCACAGAACTGCTTCAACACCACTGCCTCTGTCAAAAATCCAAACCCCACAAGGACCACTGGGATGGGGGCATGTGCCTCGGGAGTGAGGAAAAGGCAAAATTAAAAATTAAACAAGATGCCCAGAGAGCTTAAAAAGTGCCTCAACCCCAGAAAAAAAATGTGCCAAAGAAATCCTCTTCTTATCAGCCAGGGAGGATAAAGCAGGCCAGGTGGGGGAGGCAATGAAATTCACAGAAGGACGGCTTCTTGGGGCAGAGCATGTAGGGGAAATCCAGCCAGAGAGGTTGAGCTTGTAGGGGAAATCCAGCTGGGGAGGCAGAGCTTGTACGGGAAATCCAGACAGGAGGTGGAGCTTGTTGCAGGGAGCTTGCAGGAAGCCAGCGGAGACTGCAGAGCTCACAGGAACTGATCCATCTGTAACAGGGGAGCTCGGGAGAACAGGCAGGAAACCAGGTGACAGAGACTGGCAAGAAGTCAGGAGAGCTAGCAGGCTAGGAGCTCTCACCGAGCTAGAGGAGTAGCCAGAGCGCAGGAACCCCAATGAGCTTGTTACATGAAAGCTAGTGGGAAGAGCACCTGGCTCTGGTGAATGCAGTCAGATGTTGTGCCCTTAGCTATCTGCCCCACTCCTCTGAAGCCTGCTCCGTACTGAATGCAGCCAGGCACCAAACTGTAACGAGGGAACCAACAGGAGGGAGGGAAGTTGTTTGTTTCTCGGTTGTGCAACTTTCAAAAATGCAAAGTCTCGCTTTAAAAAAAAATGGCCTCTTGAAAAGAGAAAATATCCCATGTGGAACTATATATAGAGATATTTACATCCAGGCCTGCAGCGCAAGAGAAACAGGCCAGTTCCCAAAAAACAAACGAAAGTCAGTCCGTAGGATAAGTGCATTTCTTCAAGTTTTGTTGTTTGTTTTTTTAGGTTTTTTTTTTTATTATTAAATCTTCTCTTTTCTGCTTCCCCAGTTTTCTGTTTTTCCTCTTCCCCTTGCCACCGTGGGAAAATAACAGTGTTTGATAGAACAATTCCTTTTTTTGTATTTTTTTTTAAAGTTTCTTTATAAAAATTTCCTCCAGAATCACAAAAAAAAAAATCAAATTTTTTCCTTTTTTGTGTGTTTTTTAATCAGTTCTTTGTAAAAAGTCTTGATAAAGTGCATCAACAGGTTGCATTTTAAGGTGCTTCGTGTGTTGGAGAAAGAAGTGCTCACATACTCCTCTTCCGAAGGCGGCTCACTAGCGGCCCCAATCCGAGCGGACACGCCTCCCAGCCGCCATCCACTGTGCCCCCCCGCTCACTGGGAGGGCGAGAGAGGGCGGGAGGAAAGGGAGGAGGGTGCAGCAAGGCCACCTCGTCCCTTCGCAGTGCACATTCAGGTAAGACTGAATCGGTTAAGAAGGCAGCAGAGATTTTACTATTGCTACAAGACTTCAGTAGTCTTCTATGGTTTCCATCTCTCCTGATGGGCCGTGCAGCGAATAGCCTGTGGACAGAGTGGGTCATGAAGGATTAAAAGGCTGTACCTCTTGCTCTATCCCACCAGCCTCCACTCCCCTTCAAGAGCTGGGGAGAGAACCCAGAAGTCCTGGCTCTCAGGCTCCCCTGCTCTAACTCACCAGCCCCCACTTCCCTCCAAGAGCTGGGGAGAGAACCCAGATGTCCTGGGCTCCCCGCAGGCTCTGCCCTACCCAGGATGCTGGGGTCAGCATGCAGCATGACAGGTCTCCTCTTGATCTTCACGGGCTGGCTGCCCTCAAAAGGTGGCTGCTTGGAGCTGTGGTTGGCCGGGAACAGAGAGGGCAGGTTGCCAGAGCTCAACCATGAGGCTTCCTGGTAAGGGGCACAGAGGGGGAAGGATTAGCACAGAGCCCTGCCTCCTGCCTAACCCTACCCCCTGTGGCCATGGGACTAGTGCAGGGCAAACCCAGAGCACCCCCTACCTGCTGCTGCTGGCGCTGCTGGCTGGCTTTCTGCTTGGCGCGCCGTTCCAAGAACTGCTTGGCAAACTCTTTGGCTTCCAGCGTGTCGCCCAGGTAGGAGCGGATGAAGTCATGGACGTCGTATGGAGACTCCATCTCCTTCAGGAAAGCTACCACCGTCGGTACTGCGGGGAGGAGAGGTGGGGGGTGTCAAGGAGACCTGGCCCTCCTTCAGCTCACCCAGTCTGACACACCCTGCCTGCATTATCCCAATCACCAACAGGACCTGGGAGAGGCCTTTGGGAGTCGCAGGAAACTGAGGCACACAGAGGGGAAACTGAGGTACACAGAGCTGGGGACAGCTACCCCTGCCCACAGCATACCGTCGAGGCTACTGGAGGTGTTCAGGGCATGCAGCATCTGCTCGCACCACTGCGTGAAGCCATCCTGGGGCTTGTGGAACCCCTGAAGCAGTTTGAGCAGCTTCTCCTCCTCGTCCGTCTTCTTCCGGCTCTGCCGGCCTGGCCCCCCGTAAGTGTCCCTGTGCCAGGGGAGTGGGAGGGAGAGTCAGACAGAGCCTGGAGCCCAGTGCCCTCACTCCCAACCCATAGCCCCTGCCCATGCCCCTCACGCCTGACCCCCAGGCTCACCCGAGGGAGGGGCTGCTGCGGCTGTTCTTAAGGCCCATGCTCCTCACAAGTGGGCCAGCATTCTTGACGGTCTCCTCCCATAGGCTCATGTTCTTCTCGTGGCTACTCCAGAGCTGGCTGGAGTCAGCGCCCCATTGTGAGAGGTGGCTGTTCATAGCAAGAGCCCCATGCTGGGAAGGGAGAGACAGGTCACCACACCTGGCACTGAGATGTGGCCACCTCTGGGGCAGGGTGGCTGGTTATCCATGTTGTGCCCCCAGCAGCTCCTGCTCCACAGGTGATGGGAAGGGACCCTGGCTCAGGGACACATCTCCTGGGTGAGGCAGGCACTAGGACAGCTGATATGATGGGGGGCTGGGATTGTGGAAGGGTTTTGGTGCCCAGGTGAGTGGCAGTAAACTGCCCAGTTGAGATGGGGCTGGGCCATTGGAGAAGCGGAGCCTATCTGAGGTAAGGATGACAACAGCAGGACAGGGATGGGAAGAGCTTACCCCACAGAAGCAGGGGTGTTGCTGGAGACAGGCCAGGTGGGAGGTGGGACTAGGCTGGGGTGGGTCACAGGAAATCATGGGCATGGGGCCAGGCTGGGGGGGGCAAGGCTAGGGGGGTATGTCTACACTACCACCCTAGTTCGAACTAGGGTAGTAATGTAGGCAACCGGAGTTACAAATGAAGCCTGGGATTTGAATTTCCCGGACTTCATTTGCATAAAACCGGGCGCCGCCATTTTTAAATGTCCGCTAGTGCGGACTCCGTGCCGTGCAGCTACACGCGGCACGGTCTAGGTAGTTCGGACTAGGCTTCCTATTCTGAACTACCGTTACTCCTCGTGAAGCCTAGTCCGAACTACCTAGTCCGCGGCGCTCGGCAATATGCAAATGAAGCCCGGGAAATTCAAATCCTGGGCTTCATTTGCAACTCCGGTTGCCTACATTACCACCCTAGTTCGAACTAGGGTGGTAGTGTAGACATACCCTTACTCTTGGATGTTCCATGAGAGCAAATGTCACAACATGACAGCTTACTTAGAAGAAAAGAGAAAAGAGAAGTCAAGCACCCCATTCACATCGTATTTGTGGATCTCAAGGCAGAGATCGACAGGGAATCACTCTGACTGATCTTGAAACTCACAGGCCTCTCTGACAAGTGTTGTGGAACATTCCATCTCTTACCCAGAGCACGGTCTGCGCCTGGCTGTGCTGCAACAGTTTCAGCACCAGCTCCTGTTGCCGGCACTGTAGAGGTAGATGGGTTAGTGCGAAGCCACCAGACCAGCCCGCCTCTGAGCCCCTGGCACCCAGGAACCCTTCCCCCCCAATGGGTGGGGGAGCATCACTGATGGCTGCTCCTAGAAGGAGGAAGTGGGGATCTGTGGAGCAGATCGAGGCCGCTAGAACAAGAGTAAACACTAAACAGAATACACTACAGGCCTAGGGTTGCCAGGTGTCCGGTTTTGAACTAGACAGTCCAGTATTTGAGCTTTCTGTTCAGGAAACAAATTGAGAAAATAGAAATGTCCGGTATATTCTAATTAAGATGTAATGTAGATGGTGATTTAACGTCAAGTGTGTCCTATATTTGTTGAAACCGTCTGGCAACCCTATATAGACCAGAGAACCCAGGAGTCCTGGCTCCCAGCCGCACTCCCCTCCCAGAGCTGGGAAGAGAATCCAGGGGTAGGGATGGGTCTGGGTCACCCTGTCCCTCCAGCAGGTAGGCCTGGATGCAGTAGTGGGGGAGTGATGGGGGCACGGGCCCTTCCCACCTGCTTGCGCCGATAGAGCTCCTCCTCCTCGCGTCGCTTCTGTTCCTCCTGGCGCCGCTTCTCCTCGCGCCGCTTGCGCTCCTCCTCCTCCCGCTTAGCCCTGAGTTCCGCATCGCGGCGCTCCTGGAGCTGCAGCAATGAGAGCAAGGCGGTGAGGCGGGCCAGACTATAACAGAACCCCCCGCCACCAGGCACATGGACAGCACTGAGATCGTATGCAGCCCCTCCGCCAAACCGCAGCTGGTGCTGAGCATCAGAACCCAGGCATCCTGGCTCCCAGTCCCCCTGCTCTGACCCACCAGCTCCCACTTCCCTCTCAGAGCTGAGGCAAGACCCAGGTGGACTAGCTCCCAGCCCCCACTCTAGCAGTGCTGACAGCCTAGCACTCACTTTCTGTTGTAGTTGCAGTTGTTCTAAGATTGGACCCTGAGATGAAGAATTAATTGGTATATCCCATAGACTGGCCTCACCGCCTGCAGGAGAGACAGGAGAGTCAGACCAGGCGTGGGGCCCTGTGCTGTGCCTCCCCCTCACAACGATCCCCCTTACCTGCAGGCTGTGAGGCTGAGGTATGCGTGTCCCACAGGGACCCCGTGTCTGGCACGGACATGGATCTGTTCATCGCCGGCATCATGCTCTGCTCCCCTGCTCTGCAAGGCAAGGGAATCACTTGCTCAGCATCCCCAGGAGGAGGAGAGCACTGCAGTCCAGGGCACCTCAGCCACCCCCCGAGGTTCTCCTGTGCTGCTACCAAAGCTGGGGAGAGATCCCAGGAGTCCTGGCTTCCAGCACCCCTTCTCTAACCACCTGCCCCCATCTTCCTCCCAGAGCTAGGGAGAGAACCCAGGAGTCCTGGCCTGTCAAACTCTGCAAGCCCCTCCCCGATATCAGCAGAAGTGGGATGGGTTGGCAAGTGGAAGTCAGAGTGCAAGCAGGTGAGGGGGCTGGGCCTGGCCATGCCACAGAAAGAGGACAGTGAGGGGGGAGGGGCTGGCCATGTGAAGCGGGCCAGTGGGGGGCCGCGAGGGGCACTAACCTGGGTTTCAGAGCTTGCAGCTGCTGCAGGAAAGCCGTGAGCTGCTGCTGGGTCAGGTCCCCTGTCGCCACCTTCTGCTGTAGCGCACAGGGGGCAAACTGCTGCCTGCTGGGCAAGAGGGCCAGGGAGTCGCTACTAGCCACAGCCCAGGGACCTCCACGTGGGGCATGACCTACTTCCCCCCCCCCAGCCCCTAGAAAGGGAATGGGGGAAGTGTTTGACCTGCCCCCCATACCCAGTTCCAGGGCTGGGGGCAGAGGAAGGTGACAGGCCGGTCCCAGGGCAGGGGGAAGGTCCCCGCCCCCATGCCCAGGGCTGGGGGAAGGTGATGGACCCACACCCCACCCACTCCAAGGCACCAGGGGAGGGATTGTACCTGTCCGGCAGGTACCTGTTGATGAGCTGTAGGAACTGCTGATGCTGGAGCTGCTGGTAGAGGGCGGCTGCAGCCAGCTCTTGCTGCTTCTTCAGCCGTTCCTGGTCTAGGTTCCCCTATGGAGCAAGGGGCAGAGACAAGACTTCATCACGCTCGGGACAGGTGCCACCCCCAACCCTGGGTCCTCCAGGGGAGCCCAGCCCTTGGCAGGTGCAACAGAAGGAACAGACCCCATCCCAGGGGCTCTGCTCACCAGCAGGGGAGGTGGCGATGGGCCTGGAGCGAAAGGCACTCTTCCCCACATCTTGATAACTTCTCCCAGCGGCTGGAAGCCCTCGTCGCAGCCTCGCTTCACCAGCAGGGACATGGTGAAATAGCCAGCCTGGAACCACTCCGCCATCTCCTGCGTCGTGAAGGGCCCTAGGGAAGTCAAAAGAAAGCATGGTTATGCAGGAACTCCACACCTAGCACTGAAATGCAGTCACCTCTGGGATGGGCTAAATGATTACACAGGAACCCCCTCTTGCCTGGCCCTGAGTTGCAGCCATGAAGGACATGGGAACGTCAGAGAACCAGTGTCTCCCTGCCTGGACCTCCCCCCCCCCCTCAGCTAGGGATGTAAAATCCTGTTTAATTGGTTAACCAGTTAACAATAATGTTTAATCAGTGAAAGCGGGGTGCAGCAGGCTGGAATGCTCCCCCCCCCCCCCGCCCACAGCAGGCCACATGGGACTGGAGCAGCCCCCACCAGTTAACAAACCAGTAAGCCTCACCTGTTAAGGGTGAGACTTACCAGTTAACCATTCACATCCCTATCCCCCACACCTTGGATCTCCCCCTGGGGGTCCTTGTAGAACCACTTCATGGCAGCCTCATGCGAGAGGGGCAGGGCAGCGGCTGTGTTGCGAGGCTCCTGCATGGCCTGGCTGAAGCCTTCCTCTTCCAGGGAGCTTTCCTGCAGCGAAGCCACCATCTTCTCCGCTTCCTGGAGGGGGAGGGGGAAACCGAGGTGAGACCATGCCCCTGCACCCCCAAAGACAGGGGAATGGATAGGGAGAGGAGGGTGCCACTCCCTCTGCAGGGTGGAGGGGAGATTAGTAGCAAAGGCAGACCATGCCCCTGCACCCCCAAAGACAGGGGAATGGATAGGGAGAGGAGGGTGCCACTCCCTCTGCAGGGTGGAGGGGAGATTAGTAGCAAAGGGGCGGGTGGGGAAGGGAACCCAGGCGTCCTGGCCACCCCCCCACCCCACTCCCCTCTCAGAGCTGGGGGGAGAACCCAGGAGTCCTGTCTCTCTCATTCACCTGTTGAAGATGTTTCATCCCATCGTCATCCTCGTTGTCCCCGATGGAGAACTCAGTAGCAGCATTGGTGATGGAGGAAGGGGAGGAGAGGGTGGAGACAGCGTCCGGACTAAGCTGAGACTGGAGGCCCAGGACACCTGGGTCCCCTGAAGAAGAAAGGAGGGAGGGAGGGGGTCACAACACCACTCCAGGACACCCGTGTGCTGGGTTTTCCAAGTACAGGGTCTCAGCCCTCTGAAGAAAACTGGTACAGTAGATTTCCGATAATCCGGAACCTATGGGACCTAGGTGGTGCCGGATTATCAGATATGCCGGACCATCAGGAGATACTAGAAGCTGTTTGTTTGTTTTTTTTATACACATATACACACACACACACACACACACACACAGTATACATGATATACTGTATATAAAGTGTTCTTAACCCTTTTTATTGTACATACTGTATACAGTATACTGTGAGGTTTTATTTTTTTAAGCCTTTTTTACCCTTTTTGCTCAGTTCAGCTGCTGCCGCTGTTACCTTGTGACTCATTTTTTGCTGAAGCTCACTCACTAGGCTCTTGCCATTTTGATGCTGGACTATCAGGAGTGCCGGACTATTGGATGCCGGACTGTTTTACTGTACTAGCCTTTCGTAAGTGGTGTTCAAGATGTGTTAGTCACACCCATTCCAATTGCAGTTGTGTGCATGCCTGTTAGAAACTTTCCCTAGCAGTCTCCGGGGGGTGAGACAGGGAGCCTTGGAAGCAGCACTGATAATAACCCAACTGACCCGTCGCTTCCTCAGTTCCTTTGTGCCAGTTACTCCCACCGAGGGGGGAGGAGGATGGGTACTGGAATGGACACAAACACCACATCTCGAACAGTTACAAAAGGCTACTAACCATTTTTTCTTCGAGTGCTTGTTCATGTTAATTCCAACTGAGAAGAGTCCCCAAAGGTGGGGTCGGAGCTAGTTCGCCACGGACTGCAGGACTGCCCTGTTTACAGCAGCGTCATCTCAGGCCTGGAGGTCAATGGCATAACGGGCCGTGTACGTGTGAATCAAGCCCTGCATATGTCCTGGATTGGAATTTGGGCAAAGAAGGCCATAGAAGAGGCCACAGCACTAGTAGAATGCGCAGTGATCTCAGGGGTAGAGACACCTGCTCACTCTTAGCACTTGTGGATACAGTCCGTGAGCCAAGAGGAAATGCATGAAAAGGAAATGGGACGACCTCTTGTGCGTTCTACAATCGCCACAAAGTTGCGAGGCTCTCTCAAGAGCTTTGTTTGCTCGCTCACTATAAAAAGCGAGTGCTCTAGGGACAACTAGGGAGTGCAGCAGCTGTTGCCATGCACTAGTATGCAGCTGAGGAGAGTACACTGGGAGAAGAATGTCCTGACCCAACAAACTGTGAACCCAGCTTGGGGAGGGAGGCCGGGCGAGGCCTGAGCTGTACATCGTCCCTGTGGAAAGTCATATTGGGTGGTTCAGGCATGAGTGCTCTCAGCTCCAAAACCCTTCTGGTGGACGTAATCGCCACCAAAAAGGCTACCTTCCATGAGAGGTAGAGGAGCAAGTGACTCAAAGGGTGGCTGCATCAGTCTTGAGGGTACCAAGTTAAGGTCCTACACAGGAAGCAGCTGCCTCACCTCAGGGAGGGATCTATCTAGCCCCTTAAGGAAACACCCTACCAAGGGATTTACGAAAACTGAGCAGTCCCATCCCCGGGGTGGAACATGGAGACAGCCACAGGTAAACTCAGACTGAAGAAAGGGCTAACCCTTGCTCCTTCAAGTGGAGCAGGTCTTTGAGGATGAAAGGCATAGAGGCCAGCAAGAGAACATATTCCTCTTAGCCAGATAAGTGGCCCTGGTGGATGGTTTCCTACTGCCTAACAGACTCTGTTAAACCTGAAGGAAACACTAATGTTCTGTGACATTCAGCCACAGAGCTTCCAGGCCATTAGAAACAAGAAGGAAGGTCTGAATATGTAGTGTCAGTACCTTGCTGGTTGCTGTGCTTGGGCTGTGGATGACCCCTACTGGCCTCTGTCTGTAAGCACTGCACAGCGAGGGGTCGCCCTGAGGGCCCCCATGTCATGTAGACAGTGACCCAACCAGTTCTCACCAGAGAGGGAAGGAGTTGGAACAAAGGAAGGGGCCGGTTTGAGGAAGAGTCAGTTTTGGCTAAAGAAACATGGAGAGAGGAGACTAAGCAGAGTGCTGGGAGTTGAGGGGCCTATGCACTCCTGCCCCCAAAGAGTCTAGGGCTGTGCTGGACCACACCACACCTATGCTGTGCTGTATCCTGAAGAAGCAATAAACGCTCTCTATTCTACTGGCTGGAGGAGTCTCATCTTGCTGCTATGGGGGTGCAGGATCGGGGGGATCCCCGACGTGCTGTCACAGATGTCTACAGTCCTGCAAGATTAGGTCTGGGTAAATGGAGAACTCTATGAGCAGCTCCACAATGCACCAATGCTGGCACAGCCAAGCCAGCACCAGTAGGATCACCTGGGCAATTTTCCCTGATTCACTGGGGAAATCCTCAAAATCTGCAGGGAAAGGGCGGGAAGGCATAGAACATTCATGGCAGCATGAATACATCTACCAGCGACCAAGGGCTGTGGCCCCTGAATAAGCATTTCCTGTTGGAGTCTGTTGTGAACAGGTTGATCTAGGGAGTTCCCCAGCGATGAGAGAGAGAGAGACAGAGAGAGGAACATTGTCCCTCACCGCCTCCTCATGGCTCAGGAAGGACTTGCTGAGACAGTCCACCACTACATTCCTGAGCCTGGGAGATAAGAAGTCCCAAGGTGAATGGAGTGGGCAGAACTTTGTGTCATAGTGGTGGGGACCTTGCATACCCTGCTTGTTGATGTAAAACATGGCTGTGTCAGAACGGTCACGCTGTAACCTGCCATAGTAGGGTGAAAGGTCTGATAGGCCGAACGAACCACCCTGAGTTCCTTGACACTGACTGTGCAAGAGTGTCTCATTGTCTGACCCTCTCCAGGTCCACCCCCATCCTAGGTCTGATGCGTCCATGAGAAGCATCATCTCTGGCTAGAGGGCCCAAAAGGGGACACCCACACAGGCCACCTGAGGATCCACCCACCCCAGCAGGGACTGGAGGACATTCAGTGGAATTGGAAGCACTCTGGGCAGCAGACTGAGGAAAGCCAGCTGTGGAGAGACCCGAGTCTCAGTCCAGCACATGTAACCATGTAGGTGCATGCTGCCATGTGGCCAAATAGGTTCAGGCAGCTCCTGGCTGTGGGCCACTGGTGCAGTGATCTAATGAGTCATCATGTGGCCTGGATCCTGAAGTCCAGCAGGGAGGCTGTGGCTGTCGAGGCATCAAGGATGGTCCCAGTGAACTCTATTCTTTGGGCGGGAATGAGAATAGAGTTCCCTAGGATGAGGATGCCCAACCTCTGGATAGTGTCCTTGATGAGGAAGAGGTGCACCTCCACCTGAGTGGCCTCTCAGCAGCCAATCATCGAGGTATGGGTACACCTTGACTCTACTTTGGCAGAGAAATGCCACCACTACCACTATGCACTTTGTGAACACATGGGAGGCTGTGGAAAGGCTGAAGAGAAGCCTATGAACTTACTACAAGACAGAGGAAATGGTGTGGTCGATAAATGGGCATACGAGAATAGGCGTCTTTCAAGTCGAGGGTTGTGTACCAATCCCCTGGCTCCAGGGAGGGGTAACCAAGGCTAGCAAAGGCAGGCGGAACTTCAGTTTCAACAGGAACTCGTTGAAGCTGCAGAGATCCAAGATGGATCTGCAACTCCCTTTCACCTTTGGAGCAACGAAATCGTGGGAATGGTTCCCTTTTCCCCTGAGCGCCTGAGGAACCTCCTCTATCGCCCCATGGCCAGGTGATTGCACTTTCCACTGATGGAGTTGTTGGGAGTCATGCTGGTGACTACTATCCAGCAAAGCTTGTTCTGTGGCAGCAGGGTTGGATGCAGGTCTTTGTGGCCCAATCAGTCACTCATGCTAGGTGACTTGGAGATGGAAGCCTCCAGTAGGCGAGGCATCAAGGAAGGAGCCTTTGGCAACTTGGGATGGTGTCGCCCAAATGCCACTGACCTGGAGGCCATGGCAGGTCCTCCTGGGCCTGATGATATGCCCAGGGGTCCAGAACAGCCTCTGTGGTGGAGGCTATCCTGGCTACCACTGCATGCTACCATTGTATGGTAAGATGGTCTTCTGGAGCGGACGGACTCCTCTTCAGAGAACAATGATGCTGAAGGTGAAGACCAAAGTGGGGCCAATGAACCTTGCAGCAGGTCTCAGTACCAAGAAGAGGAAGAGCAGGACTGATGCCAGGGGAAACATGGTGAGGACCTGTGAGCACTCTCTGTGCTGGTGATTGGTACTGTGATCCCGACATCAAGGAGGACCAGGGCCTTGTGCGTGGAGATGATGACACCTCACGCCTCTGTGCCAGTGGGTGGTGTAGGATGAAAATTTCTGAGGCAGGCTATGATATTCTGTTAAGAACCCCTATTGTAAATTTGGAGTCTGGACTGGCACACACAGTACATGATGGTTT